TTTTTTGGTAAATGTTTTATTACATTAAGTATTTGATCAGCAATATTTAATGTTGCATTTTTTTTATTTAGATACCTCATCAAATATGCTTCATTTAATGTATTATACTATTTCCATCCATATTCAGTATTAATTGCTCAATAAATACTGATAAATTCTTTATCTGATTGAGTATAATCCATAAATGTATTTTGTTGTTTTACATTCTAAACATCATCTGCTGTACTAAGAAATACAAGTGTTGAATATTTTTCAAAATTATTTATTGTAAATAATGATGAATCAACATCAAATCCATTTTGTTTACTCAACATTTGAATAGCTGTAATACCTAATGGAATTGATTCATGAGATTATATGTTTATAAACATAAACAGAAGAATATTAAAATATGGAAGATATGTAGCCATGATATATTTTATTAAAGTTCTGTTAAGAAATGATATCCTCTTATCTATTGTAGTATATTTCGTATTTCATAGAAAACATCACGTCAACAATAAGTAAATACATATTTAAAAAAAACAATGATATAATTTTTAGATGTTATATGTCATTTTTGATCCTTTTTTTTTGCGTATGCATATACATGTATTTCACATCTAATCATTCAATTTTTTATTTTGATCCTAATAATCATTCAAGTATCAAATCGAGTATCTTCAATGTTTTTGTCTCATAAAAAAACGAAAATAGTCGTTTTGAAAGCTAGTATATCTCAATATAAAATACAACTAATCATTCTTTTTGTCAATATTAAAAAAGGGATGACCATATTTATCTCTCTCTCCTTTGTTATATAGTATAGTACAAGATAAAAAATATACAATTTTAACAAACTTTTATTTTATTGAAACAATTTATGACATAGGAAAATATTTACGACGATTATTTGAGTCAAGAAATGATTGATCTAGATCAAGATCTTTGACTCTACTAAAGTTAAAATATGTTGTATCGATGGTAAAATTGTTTGTTATTATTGTAAGTGATTCATATTTGATGTAAAGATTAAGTAAACGAGGTAGATAAGTTATTTTCTGCAAAAGAAATTGTTCAGCATAATCTGTATGTGCCGATTCTAGATTAAGAAGTTTAAGATGATGAAAAGTAATTAATTCAGTAGACGAATTTTGTTTATCTTCTTGTGGTCGATCATTACGTATATGTAATATTTCGATAAAAGGTATATCATGAGATATAATTTGAAGGAATTTATGTTTCAAAGGAAATATATCTTTAATTACCAAATATCGAACTGTATGAAACATGCCTCCTGGAAAAGAATTATTGATTTCAAGTAAATATTCGAATTGATATGGAAGTGAATAAATATGACATTTTGATTCGATATGTGAATAGATGCTAATATATGAATTAATTTGTGGATATATTCCTTTTCCAATAAAACTACGTTGAATATCTTCATTTGATGAAAGATTAATATCATTATATCTTAAGACACATGTTTGAATATTAAATGTAAAGTTATTTAATTTATTCATATGACAAAGAAGTTCATTATATAATTGAATGCCATCAACATAATTTAAATCAGATACTTTTATTAATAAATATAGTTTTAATTCTTCAAGATTTATCATTCGACGAATAAATGGAAAAATTTGAGTAATATGTTGATCTGTGTATTCAGGTGAAATAAACGACAAATATTTTAATTTGGGAATTTTTTTCTAGAAAGAATATTAGTATTAAAAATATCTTGAAGATATATTTATAAAAATAAGATGATCAAAATCGAATACATACTGTATTATCTATGTCTAGTATCGGATAATAAATTAAATCTACATGAACAATTAATGTTGTTAAACATTCGAAATCTTCATTAACAAGAAACAAACATTCACTAAAAGCTGTAAGATTAATTTTTAGTTTAGTTAAAGTTGAAGACGTTAAAGTTGTGGCTGTTAATAGACAAATACGATTCCAATGTTTTCGCTCAAAAAATAAATCACAAAAATTTAATTCAATTAATTTTTCACATAAAGATAAAATTAACACAAAAATTTTTCTTGTAATTATAGTCGATTCTCTATATGCATTTTGTATATCAATATTAAGATGTGTTATTTGTTTACTAAGTAAATCGCGAAGAATAGAATCATCTACAATTGAAAAGAAAAACAAACATAATTATTAACTTACATTTAACCAATGCATTATTTTATTAATGAAATATTTTACCTGTTAAATATTGATCAAGTATTTCTGCTTCAAAATTAACAAGTGATAATGAATATAGTTGAGGATAATTAGTTGCATGAAGAATACGTTTCATTGAATATTGTTCAATAGTAAGTGTGTTTATTTGATCATAAATTCGACATAAGATTTGATCAGATATTCTTGAAAGAATTTTATCATCTATTGAAAACGTTTGATTATATAATGATTCAAAAGTTCTGATAGTCATATCAAGATTACGAATAGTAAGAGGATCAAGTACTAATCGATCAAATCGTTGATTAACATCGACAAGTGAATATAGAACGTCAACTATATTCATTTTATTACAAATAATAAGTAGTATTTCATCAGGTAAATCGAGTATATTCAAGTATTTGTTCATCTTTAATTCATACAATGTACTTATATCAATCTATATATATATATATATATCTGTCTTTTCTTCTTCCTGCCTTATATGAGAACAATGGAAGGTCAACGAATATTGATGCCGTTATGTTACTTTATTAGGCCCCAAACAGACTGGAAAAATGAATTAACCAATACGATGACGCAAGGGGGAAAAAGCGGATCATGGATCCACGAATCTTCTGAATTTTTTGGATTCTAATAGATCCTGAGAGATCCTTGTGGATCTTGATGGATGCTAGTGGATCCTGGTGGATCCTAAAAGAGACCTACAATTATTGCCAACATTGTTTTGCCTCTTTATTTCTCTTATTATTTTTCGACTGATTTTATAACGATGCTAGTTGACATACGCTAAGGTTCATTTCATAGTTGTCTCTAGGGTGTGGGTGTGGGTGAGGGTGACGGTGTAGGTGTGGATGCTAGTATAGTTGTGGAGATCCTATTTTATTCTTACTCACACTCAGATCCAAACCCACTTACACCCGATCGGAGTTTTATTTTTTCGACATTTATTTTTCGTAATTTTGTTTTTTCCACATTTCGAAGTTCGAAGTTTTAAATTTCGGTGTTTCTTTTCGAAATTTTTGTTATTCGACATTTAGCGTTTCGATATTTTTCTTTTCGATCTTTTGCCAGCAATTCCATTTTGTACTCGTATCCGCTCAGACCTCAGTTTATTAGAAAAATATTTATTAATCGCTTTTTTCAAGTGTAATTTAAGTTGAACAATCTTTAATAATGATTTATATTTTAGGTGTATTGAAATACTTCTAAATGGTGATTAAATATTCTTTATCTGCCAAGAAATTTTAAATTTAATATTAACTATTTCTCTTGTATATATGTATAATATAGAAATATATGATCGTTTTTTTTTTCTTCTTCTTGTGTAACAGCATTATTCACCTTCATGTCATGTTTTTACCTTATTATTCACGCTTCTATTAACTCAAAACGCACTTTACTTATGTTCGATGACTTCACCTGTAGACGCAAATTGTATTTTTTTTGCACATGTTCTACTTGCTTGTTATGAATGACTGTTACAAAATAACTTTTCGTACGTACTATAGTTTCGCATTATATACTTTAGGTTGAAAAGTATCTTATTTATATGATTACAATACTCTCATATAATGTTCGTTTTGTCTATTTTAAACATATAAATATATTGCTTTTTTATGTCAAGAATTTCAGTACTTTTTCACATTTTTATTCATTTTACTAATTGTTCAATATATTCGTGTACTCTGATGGATTGAATACTTTTGAAAAGAACGACTGGTTTCGAGTTTTATTACTTAGATTACAATAGTATAATGTACCTTGAAAATTTCTCTTGGATCATTGAATTCTCAAAATAGAACCGAGCGCAGATGGTGGTAGCTGAAGCACAGAACACTCTGACTCAATGACTGATTAGAAAATAGTGTGCTCTTTCTTTTGACAAACCTTTCACATAAAAATAAAAACTAGTTATCATGATTGATATAGTTTATATTTAAATATCTAAATTATCAAATCCAGATATTATGTGAGTAAAAATAAATAATGTCTCAGATAAACATACTTGTATAGTTATATAACTCACAGAATGTATGAGGAAAAAGCATACTTATCTACCTTAATGATTTGGTTTTCGTAAAAAAAAAGCACACGTACTGCTTCATTAGCATGCTAAATTATGTATAGAAGGTCAGGATTCTTTAAATTTCATATTATTATCAATACATTTACTCAAACGTATAGCACAAAAAAGAACGTGCAACGGTTATGATTGTACTTGAAATTTTATCTTCTTATCATTGACATACATATATTTTCAATAGTATACTGCATTTTTCTGAAGTTAATAATTTTAACTTGTGTTTTATTGCTTAATAGACAATTTAAATTTTTTATATTTACTGTAAATATATTCGAGTATATGAAAACAGTAGATGTCAGGATTGTTCAATAATATTTATATTGCATAGATTGATATCCAATCAAGTATCTCAAATGATATATCTTTTATCCAGTTTTATTTCTAAAATCATCGTCATTATGACTATGACTATTGCATCTCGTGCTTCACAGAATACATACATGTGTCTGGTGATTCGTTATTTATTTTTTTAAGATATAATGCTGTTTTTATAAGACACATTTTTTCGAATGTTTAATTGAATAAATATATCGAAAAACAATGGGATTTTTATTTTCAAAGCTGTGGGCTTTATTTGGTAAGATAAATATTGATAAATTAATAAAAAAATATTTTATATATATGTTTTACAGGTGATGAAGAACATAAAATAATTATTGTCGGTCTTGACAATGCTGGTACGATGAAAACTGTTTACTTATTTGATTTTGTTATGTTATTAAATAGGTAAAACAACAATACTTTATCAATTTTTAATGAACGAAGTTGTTCATACATCACCAACGATTGGTTCGAATGTTGAAGAAGTTGTTTTTAAAAATATACGTTTTTTAATGATGGATATTGGTGGACAAGAATCTTTACGTTCATCATGGCAAACATATTTTGCACATACAGCATATGTTATATTAGTTGTTGATAGTACCGATCGTGAACGTTTACCAATAACAAAACAAGAACTATTTCGTATGTTACAAAGTGAAGAATTACGTACTGCATCTGTATTAATATTTGCCAATAAACAAGATATAACAGATTCAATGACATCAGCTGAAATATCAAAACAATTATGTTTAACGTCCATTAAAGATCAAGCATGGCATATACAAGCTTGTTGTGCATTGACCGGAGAAGGTTTATATCAAGGTTTAGATTGGATTGCGTCGAGAGTTAAACGATGAGATTCTTTTTTTTATTCATGTTTTTTTGTTTTATATATATATATAAATATAAATTTCTTTGTGAAGAAAAAACAAGTTTGTTGAAATTTCATTGAAATTTAAAACGATCTTTTTCTCCGTATTTAAATATAAATATAAATATGTGTGTGTGCGAGCATATTGAGAATAAAATAATAGAGGAAAACATTTCTATTTTTAGATCAAATCGAAAACATGCCTGGAAAAATGACCTTCAATGTTTATGATGATGTTCATAAAAAAAATGCAGAAGGTATTGAATATGACTTATGGCGTATTAATAATGGTAAAGATCGTGTTAATATGAAACACGAGAAATTGGCAGTTGGTAATTCACACGTCCTGGTAGAAGCAAATAAAGAGGAAGAACTCGGCACTTTCGAAGTTGTAATTTATGCTAAAGATTATTTTGATCGTTTTAATGAAAATATCGAAGTAAAAAATAGCCGATATGTTATTCCTTTTGGTGTTAAGGATCTTAGCAAAGATTATCATTTAAATATTCATATCTCACCAGATAGTTATACATGCACCTTATAGAGGGGGCATAAAAAATATCGACTTTTGCATGCTACAATTTTTTATCTAAAATTTTTTTTTACTCAATTTTTATTCATCTCATACTGACACATCTAATATTTTTCTTAATAATTGCTTTTAATTTATACTAATTTATTTTAATCGAGAAAAACATATTTTTTTCAGATAAGAATGGATAGCTCATCAAATTCACCCCGTGTATCGACTACATCGGTACCCGGTGTTATAACAATTGATGGCCATAGTTGGTCCTACTGGGCATTTGTTTGGCTTGGTCTTGGTTCTTTATTACCATTTAATTTTTTCATAACAGCTGATCCATATTTTCGTTATAAATTACATGATCCTACAATGCCAAATTCAACTGTATCACGTCTTGAATTATCCTATGAAAATGCAGTTACAATTTGTGCAGCTGTACCAAATTTAATCGCAACAATTTTTGTTACATTTGTTTGCATACCTTACATACATAAATATCGAATATGTACATCATTAAGTGGTATAACAATTTGTTTATTAATATGTTTTTCACTTATTTTTGTTGATGTTCATCGTTGGCGTGAAATATTCTTTTTTCTAACAATGATACTTGTTATGATTCAAGGTGTATTCTGTGCTATTCTACTCAATTGTTTCTTTTCATTAGCATCAACATTACCAAGTCGATATATTCAAGGTAAAATTTATATTTCGAAATAATCAATGATAATAATTAAAAATTTAGACAGAATAAATGAGAATATGTAAGTATTGTGTTCGCTATCTATGCTTTAGAGATACGATTGATAAATATAAATACGAATATCATATTACAAGGGAGATTTTGTAAGATAAAACTATATTGCATTTTTATCTATTGTATTATTTACAAACATAAATTGATGTTTTATTAAAAGAAATAGTTACAGGAAGTCGTTTAGTTTATTTGATGAACATTAAGTTTGATATTACATATCATATGAAATCAAATTTCTGACTCTTTAAAAACACAATTGAAATTATACTATTGAATATATAGTGATTATGCTCGGCAACAGCTGAATATGTAATATATGTCTACTATTAAATATATATCGATTACGCTCGGTAACAGCTGAATATGTAATATGTCAACAAATAAATAGAATTAAACTTAATGCTTTTGCTACGATCAAAATTCGTATATATCATAGTATTCTATAGAACTTGAGCAAACTGTTTAGTTTATCAGATACTTTAATAGTAGAAAAGAATAATTATTTAATAAAAAAATTTATTTTAGGATTTGTCGCTGGTCAGGCACTTGGTGGTGTATTTGTTGTTGTCTGTTCTATAGCATCAATCTTATTTTCAAATAATATATCTATATCAGCAGCGATTTATTTTCTTCTGGCTATATTTGTTCTTCTATCAAATTTATTAACATATATCTATCTTGAAAAATCTCATTTATTACAGATTTATTCATCATCAATACAAGAAATAAATAATGAATATGAACCATTACTTCATTCATCATCATCAACAACAGAAGATTATCAGAATAGTAATAATAATAATAATTCAAACAATATAACATTATTAGCATTACGTCAACGTTTATTAGTAGCATATAAATATACAAAATGGAATTTTTTTGGTATACTTTTAACATTTATTTGTACATTATCATTATTTCCAGCTTATATGTCGAAAATTCAACCAGCTTATCCATCAATTAATTATCCAAATACAATATGGACAGATCGTTTATATGCACAAGTTATGACATTTCTTTTATTTAATGTTGGTGATACACTCGGTCGTATGATATCATCAAAAATTCAAATACCATCATTATTAAAACCACATCTTCTTTTTTCTATATGTGTATTAAGATTTCTATTTATTCCTTTATTTGGTTTGTGTCATTTTCCCAATACAAATGGTTTTCCATACGTATTTAAAAATGATTTTATTTACGCTGGAATTGTCTTACTTTTTGCTATGTCACATGGTTATTGTAATTCACTCAATATGATGTATGCACCAAGACGTGTTCATGCTCAATTAAGCAGTACTGTTGGAGCACTTATGCTTATGGTATGTAGGATATTATTTAATGGATAGGGAATATTTTTAAGATGTATGTTAAGTCCAATATTACGTTGATGTGTATATGATGTATTTGATGTTATAACGCAACTTGAACACATTCTTATCTAGCATAGTATGAATATGATAGAATAGAAAATACCTAAATGATGGAAAATAAACACTTGTCAGAAAGAGAGAGAACGAACCTATATGGATAGAATCTTTAAGGTAGTAATTAGTTCAAAGATCAGATTTTCTAATTACTTACGGAAGATATGTATATCATTTAAATACTGAAGGTTTCAAAATCACTGCTAAACACAATAGAAAAGACTCTGTTAAAAGTTTAAAGCATATTATTCGAACTGAAAATCAAATTATGGATGACTTTATGTTCATGTTAAACAAAAATAGTCTTTAGAGTTGAGCTTCTGCATCATTTTGATCTTTAAGATTCAAATACTTATGTGAAAAAAAAGCGAATGAAAAGAAGAAGTAAATATGATGCTATGTAATATATATTTTATAAGAATTTATATTAGTCATGTCAAAAATTTCAAATCTCGAAATATTTTAAGGCTTTGCCCCGAATAATATCCACACCCACACCCACACCCTCGAGAGCGAAAGGGTTAAGCCAAGCGATTGTCGCCAAATTTTATTTTTTTGATAATTCCTTCTGACAATATTTATATTTAGGCATTGACTACGGGTATATTTATTGGTTCATTATTATCTTATGGTGTTGTGGCTATGTATGGTGATGCCAAAGAACCAGATAATCAACATTTTCAATGATCTAATCTGTTTATTTTTTCTATAAGAAACAATAAATTATTCTCATTTTTTTTTGTTCGTCATTCATTCTGTAAAATATATATGTAAATAAAAGAAGCTATTAAAACAAAATTTTTCTTTTATACCATATATATATATATTACGACAGAAGTAGGTATAGACGTTTTTATTTGAAGTGATTTTTTTTATTGGCCACGTAAATTTGTTTTCATGAGAAATTTCCAACATAGATATGTAAGAAGAGAACAGCAAAATTTTTCTCCTTTCATTTTTAACTTTTCTTTACATACCGGCTTCTAATATCTGCCTTTTTTCTTTCTTCTTTTCATCATTTATTTATTCGGGGAAGAAAACTTTCTTTTTTCTGTTCGAAGCGTGTTTTTACACTGTAGTTTTTTAAAACAGCGTCATAAAAAATGTCAACTTCAGAACATTCGTCAGTAGTGATTGATAAAGATAAAAAAAAGACAATATGTGGTGCTTGTGAATCTGAACTAGAACCTGATCATGGTGGTATACAATGTATACAAGCCCATCATTATTGCACAGAATGTTCTATTCATATTGTCAATTTATTTTTTTCTGATCCACAACATTATACACCTTTACGTTGTATACAATGTAATGTTGATTTAAATCCTAGTGTATTTGAACGACAATTAACAGCAGAACAACTTCCGTTTTATGAACAACATATGCTTGCATTAGTTTGGGCTAAACAACTTCTTGATGAAGATGAACGTTTAGATAATTGTCCATTCTGTTGTTTTGCTGTTATACGTAGTATACATGATCCAAATTATATTTATTGTCAACATGCTGAATGTGGTATGATGTCTTGTTTAATATGTCGAAAAGCTTGTCCAAAATTTCAAAATATGTATTGTACTGATGAAGAATTTACTGAATTACAAAAACATTTTAAATGTAGTGATTTAGCTGATGACAAACATATGTTTGATCAATATTTGGAATTAGGTCAAAAAGTTCCTTGTCCAAATTGTGGTCTAGCTGGAATGAAAGATGATGCTTGTACGCATATGACTTGTCCGACCTGTTCACAACTATGGTGTTATTTTTGTGGTAAAAAAAATGAAGATTGTAATAAAGCACAAGATGGAGTCAATGGAATATTTGATCATAATCATAATTGGTATACTAATCCTGATCGTTGTCCAATGTATTTTACTCAGATATTTGATATTGATGATCGATGGCCTGATGATGAAGAACAATGCTTAGCAATGTTTCATCGTAATCGTTCATTACGTTTATTACGTGAAGTCTATGAAAAACTTGGTAAAGAACGTATTGAACAACTTGATGAACATTTTAATATACTTACTACATGTGGTTTTACATTAGATGAAATACTTAAAGAAGATCTAACATTAATTAAAAATCGAGACGTTAATTCATCGTCACGTTCAAAAAGAACTGATTATTTTTAATAATTTAATTTCTATCATTTGTTTTTTTACCGTTGTAAATGAAAAATTATCTTCGTTATAAAGAATACTCCAATAAAACTTTAAGAAAGTATGTTCAAAGTAGAATAATAACGCATTTTTATACTATGTCATGTAGATCGTGTAATCGATGAGGAGAAGAAAAATATTAATAATGAGCATCAAATGCCAAATAACGATTATAGACGTAGTTCTGATGTAATGGATCGATATATTGTCAAATTTATCTTTTCTCGTCATAATCACAATGACGACAAAAATGATTAATTTTTATTATTGTTGTTATTACACTTTGCTCTTTCTATCCGTTCGGTATTTTTTGTTTTTTTGTTATTGTACTAACTATAGCGTATCTATACATCTTTTTGTATTCGCTGGCTGTTTTGATGTAATGCGATGGCTTTTTTTTCTTCTTTTTTCTGTTTGCGTATTTCGTACAGAAAGAAGAAAAAGAAAAAAAAATGATGATAGGATTCTGCATCATACCCCATTTTGTTGAAAGGAGAAAGAAAAAAACAACGTCGACTTTGTGTATCGTGTGATAAGAAGAAAATTTTATAGTATTTTTTTACAAAAAAGGTAATCATATATGGCACTTCAATTAACATTATCATGTGATTCGGATAAATCACAAAGTGGTCCAACACTTATTCATTCAACTGGTGTAGAAGGTTACAAAATTCCTCCAGAAGTGGTATGTTAATTGATAGAGATTGAATAGACTGGCAGTAGTTCGATGACGTTTGTATTATTATAGATTCGAATTTTACAAGAAAATCTTGCTAGTGATAGATTATCTGATCATTCAGATGGTGTTCTTTGTCAAGATGGACCTCAACGTGTACTTGATGTTCTTCGACGCAATGGATTTACTTTACAAAAACAAACAACTGAGAGCAATCGAGCATTATGGACATTAGTACAAAGTGGTGGAAGTAGTGGTGGAAGTAGTGGCGGTCACCAACCTCCTCCACAACCACATCCAACACCAGATGCTAATAATGATGGAAATGAAGGTGGTGAAGATCAAGGCGGAGAAAATGAAGAAGAAGGAGGAGAAGGAGAAGGAGAGGGAGAAGAAGAAGAAGAAGAATCATAAACAACAATTAATCGTTTATTTTATGATTTTGATCCATTCATGGATATATTTACTAGTGTGTTCAATGGAGCTTTTGCATATCTATTCTACTTTTTTCGGTGTGACATTTTATTTTTACATAAACATATATATGACATAAATAAATAGAAAACTAGTTAAGAAAACAAGATCTAACGTTCAAAAAGCTATCATTTTATTTTTAATATTAGATTCAGAACAAGTAAAAATACTAAAAGTATTCCTTGTGATTTTCTTATGATTGAAAAGCTTAGTGAATTCTCAATATTTAGCTAAACTTATCAATACCGTATTTACGAGGATATATATCCAGATGTTTGGGTATTATCTGTTAGTCATAAATAAGCTATAATGATTTACGGGAAGACTAAAAAAAGAAAACATTCCCTGAAGACTTCTTTTTTTGTCTTGCATTGTTGCAAAAGAGTTGAATATTTTAGATAGATCTGATTGTCCTAGATATTTTAGTTTAAAGAGATGTAATAAATTTTCGAAAAAGCTCATATTGTTGAAGATTGTGTTACATTACAATCAATATCTCCAAAAGAATACATCCTTTGAAGCCAGAACTATAAAATCGTCATGAAAATTCTAAGCAAATGAATACATGTAAGATTTTTACGTATGCCGTTATACTTCTATGTCAGTCTAAACTCGTAAACATTATAAATAAAATCCTCTACTCTATCGAATACTAAAAATTAATATAGAAATGATACAAGACTATCTGATTTATAGACAAAAAAAACTCATCAGTTGATTATAAACTGATTAAGACGTATAAAAAGTTAGAATTAACGTAAAAAACTTTATTTTATGTAAATAGAAATGCCTAGGCCTATCGATATCTTTCTAAATCATAACTATTATCATTTCAATAAATACGTGACAGTGCACAATATCGTAAACATATCATTCGATTACGTGCTATTTCAAAATATATTGATAAACGAAGTCATTCATTTAATAATTATAATATTGCATTATGAGCAATACTTTTCATACATTTAAGAAATTGTATCAGCATTGATGTTAATATAGTTTAATTGATTAATATGAGTAAGTAGATGATTTATTGATAAAATATATGATACATCAGACATAGCAATTTTAAAAATAATATATGGTATGAATAATGAAAACAAAATTATCTAAAAGCAGTTCATACATATGTATAAAATTCTTAATTTTATCAATATGAATATATTCCTCTATTGTTTTAAACATTATTTTCATTTGCAAGAAAAAGATCAAATATGTATAATCTATTATTGAAGTACATAAAGCTTAATTTCTTGCAATTCCATTGTATTTTTGTTTATTGTATGTAAAGGTCACATATGATATATACGAAACAACAGTCATTTTTCTATACAATTTGATTTTTCAATTTTCTTTTGTCTGTCAGATATTTGAATGTTGTATTTGCTATAATGTATATATATATTTATTCTTAATCAAGGCTTCATTTGGTTTATATCTTAACTCATTTTCTTTTAAGTATCTTATGTTTAGGATGAAACTTTGAAAATTTCTATGTTTTAGTTAATAAATAATGTTATTAAATTCTGTGTAATAATCATATATATTTATAATTACTTCCGTTCCCTCAAGATGAACAAAAATATTTATCTTTACTTTATTATAACAATAACTAATGTGGAAACGCAGTAATTTCTCTTTCTCTCTTGGTTACTTTGTTATTCCATCCTATCCAGCTTTCTTCCGTATTCTCTATCACATTGACAAAGAAATGGGTAAATACGAATGAGCTAAACATAGGCCTAAATAGACATCAATATATGGTGGAAAAAAACGGACGCCTACATAATTCTCTTTTCTGTACACATTAATATCCTCCAGGAAGAAATGTGTTTTTTT